GAGATTTGAACCCCTGAACTGCTGATCTAGCAGTAGCCTGCAGTGCTGCATTTAACCACTGCGCCACCTTGGCTCTTCATACAAGGGAGTTGTTGTGGGGGGGGAGCAAAATGAGGACATTAGAATAGATGGAAAAGCTGTCTCTCTTTTTAAAATCTGATAGTTAACAATGGTAATGTAGTATAGATCACTGATTAAATCCAATCCTTAATTCTGGATCATCCTAACAGCACATCTCATGGGCCAGGCCAGATAAAACTGTAGTACAGTCATTTAAAGCTGATCCAGAAAGCTTCCTAAATTTCAGGACTGGGCCCAAAACAAAATGAAAGGTTGATTTCAACTACATACTGTTTTCAAAGATTGTTTTGCTATGTTTTTCAATTTCTCAAGGACACACTAGGTATTGGAAACAAATTAGCAGAATGATAAATGTTGATATTGTTGAATGTTTTTCTGCTATGATAGTATTTTATTCATATTATGAAATTTCAATCCTTTATGTTTAGAAATCTACATGGCTGGAGATCCTGGAGAGTTGCAATATGATAGTGTTCAGCAACTTGTAAGCCACATGCATCCCAAAGCCCAAAAATAGCTGATTTTTGGCACTGGGATTTGTTTATGTGTTTCTCCTATTTCTATAAGATTTGGAACAGATTTGTTAAGCTTATGTATGGCAAAACCCATCCAGTGATACTCTAGAATTCTTCGGTTTCTCAAAAGTTTTATACATACAGGAACAAAATGTCATTCTTGCCATCTCAAATCACATCATTTGAGGCACTCTGCTTTAGTCCTAGATGCCAAAACATGAGATAATGTGAAAATAATTTTACAATAGCAGCAATAACACTGATCATCTTTCCAAGACTCCTTGGTGTTTAAGGTGCTACTGACACTGATTATGATTGTAATTTCTAAACTTTAAGTTACTTATACAATCAGAAGCATTGGGAGTTGGTCAAATTTGTATTCCATATCAAGTTATAATTCATTTTTAGCAAAT